CTAAATATCTCCAAACGTTATTCTGAAATATTAACGTTCTAATCAAATAGGTTTAACTTTTAACTATATGGGAAGCTTGAACAATAAGGTAGAAAAATTACCAAGGATTGTATATTGCAAGTGAGAGATCTCAGCTAGGCCAACAGTGCATTACACAGATATATCAATCACAAATTTACAAATATGACATAAGAAAAACTTAGGCACGTTAGTATTTCAGTTTAAAGGTTTTATAATTGTTAGATATGCAAAAAATAAATTATACACAGTGAAACTGATACAAAACTTTTAAAAATGTATTAAATTCCTGAACTAAGGAGCCAGCAGTATTTATCTATCAGCTAATTTACAGGAATAAGATGCTCCCAGCAGAATAAATGAGAAATACCCATGACAAGAGCATCACTAGAAAGGAAGCATATTTTTACATTAGTAAATATTGGTTAAAGGAGACAGCTTATATGAAATAAGCATACAAGTCAATTTATCAAGTTGCTATAAGCCTAGCAACAATGACACAAATAGAGACAGAGTTCTGTTTAGTCTTGGCATGTCTACTTGTTAAACATATATAGCCTGAATGAATGAACGAATACATACATACATACATACATACATACATACAGTATTGGTAGATCTTTCTCACAATAAAGCAAAACATGCAAATATATATTAATTTAGTTAATATTTCAGTACGAGCCAGTTTCATGTAAGGCATCAAGCTAGAATGTCAACGTTGCTAACATTGGATGTTCTTGCTTTGACAACAGATGGAAATGTAGCCATCTTTTCTCTATTGCTTTTAGAGTTCGTTGATGCTGGGAGGGGGAATGTGGATGAGAGTCCAGCTAGTCATAACAATAATAACTCAGCTGTGGGAGCCCAAGGTTATTAGGTCCAGAGATAATAGAAAGTTGGCGGGCAGGAGAGATGGGGAGAAAGCCTGTGCTTCAAGTTAATTGGGGAATGTGATTTATGACTGTTAATTGGAGGAGGGAATTGTGCTTTGTTACTTTGTGCCAGGGAGGGGAATTCAGTTTTTGGCTTCAACTATGTAGTGCTGATACTTTGTTTCTTGAATAAAAGATTCTTTAAGGAAAGCAATGCCTCAAAGTTCTTTTGAATAGATTCATCTGTCGGAACCATGACTTAGAAAATAGGAGACCAAAAGTTCTAGTTCCACCTTAGGAACAAAGCCAACTGGGTGATCTTGGGCCAGTCACTCTCTTTCTGCCCTAAGAAGCAGGCAATGGGCAAACCACTTCTGAAATCTGACCAAGAAAACTACAGAGACATGTCCAGGTGGTCACTAGGAGCCAACAATGACTTGAAGGCATACACACAAGGAACGAATAGGCACAATGAAAAAATGATCATAAACCATTTTCAAATTTGGAGGGGGGGGAGAAGAAAAAATGAAACCTATACTCCTCTCCCCTCCCATCCCATGCAAAAATCTCTCAAAGGCTGATTAGCCTACCTTGGATTGAATAAATTTATTTACTCTTACTACAGTACATTTTAAGAGAAACAATAACTTGGCTACTGAAAAAAAACTACCAATATAAATGTGCTTGTATCCTATCAAGAGAAAATCCCAGTTGGAGAGTGAAGAACATTCAGAGCCCACCCATCAAGATTATGTTAGTATTTCTATTATAAATTATTTCATAACTTGATTATTTCAGTGTAGATCCAGTGTAGATTTGGCAAAGTCACTTATTTCTTCCCATCTTTTCCTTTAAAAATTTCAATTGCATATAATGAAAAGGCAGCAAAGTAAGGAAAAGTGTTCTAAAAACACTTAAGGATTAAAAAAAAGAGCTTTTCAAATGCTATTCAGTGTACAAAAGTTCTCCACTCATTTATATCTGCAACTATCCTCCAGATGTAGTTTTTGAGGAGCCATATTGCCCTGAATAGAGTGGAGACACAGTTCAGTAAACTGATACCTCCCTTGTCTTAATTAGCAGACCCTTTTTCTCAATTGCAACCAGAGGAGTTTTTCAGCTTTTTTTCTAAGCGAAGGAAATAGAAACAGTTTCAGCTTAATCTCAAGAATGGAATGAAATGAAAAATAGGGAGAGAAACAGACTAGCCTAGACAGAGAATGGAGTTCAGACTTGCATGTAATGGGAAAGAAGTCTTATTTCGATAACTAAAGCAAACCCCATCCTCAAGATATTTCTCATCTTGCTTCCTTAATTCTTTCCTAACCTCTTATGTCTTTTATTTTTGAAATCTGAGGGCAAGACTATTGTTTAGGGAAGGGGATGTAAGCACAATGGGAACTTCTTTGATTTCAGAATGAAGTATAAAAGTTTTAAATTAAAAATTATGCATTAGACTGCAAAGCAGAATTATACAAATGTCACTCATTGGCTATACATCTCTTAGATGTATATTATCAACTCTAAAGCAGCAGCAACAAAAAACGCCATGAATAACTTTGGACTTATTTTGTCTTTTAAGCAAAAGCACAGAACTAGTATGTACTCTTCCCAAAAAATGTTCCACAAAAGATGCAGCAAATTATAAAAGATGCAACAGAAGTACTTGAATGACTGTTTGATAATATTTAATTTCTTTTAGTCTGAGACAAGATTATATAAGAATCCTGTAAGTGCAGAAAAGTTCTATCCCTATTTTTATCTCTCATAAGGAACTTACAAGTAACCAACAGTAGTAGTAAATCTATTGATTTATGGGAAATCACGTAGGAAATTACACTGCTTTCATTTTAGAGCAGAGGCCAGGCATGTGTGTATGCCCCTAGAATTTAGGTAGCAAATTTCCAAGAAACAAACAATAAAAATTGATATGTAAGTCTTTGTTTGGTTTAATACAGTATACCAAAAATGTTCAATCATTGCTCCCAAACTAAAAGAAAACAAAATTCCAATTCTATACTCTTCAATAACATTATTTCATGTTTGAAATTATTTTAAAAAGTGTGGTTCTGAAGTGCTAACTCAAAACTCACTTTGTGTTATTTGGAATTCTGGACCTCCCAATGCTTGTTATGTCTGAAGGTAAATAATCAATATAGGAAGGAAGAAGAGAAAAAGACAACGAAGCTTCTGAATATGCCCAGTTGGCTGCCAGATGTCCACTCTAATGGAATGTCCGTTGTTTTCCTGGATATATTCTTCATCTGCTCTTCATCATGAGTCCTTCCATGAATATCACATTATTCTCCTTCAGTTTACTGTCCCACCCACTCAGTTGGCTCCCTGTCCTTCAATTAGTACCTTAATTATATGCATTTAAAAAAATTCTATATCTCCTCTTGCTTCTCCCCTTCATTTTACACTTGTTTTTATAATTTGATCAACCTTATCTCACTTCCTTTTAAGTCTTTTTGACATGCTATTCTCAGTGAATGGATTAGTGTTGATTTATCAGTCTTAAATTCTTCTTCTGTACCCTCCCAATACCTTTGAGCCACCAGTTATAAATTAAGAACTTATAAACTTCCTATTCTTTGTAATTCATATATATTTCTGAATATATCTCTCCAAAATAATTAATTTAAATAATTATTTATATTTCACAGCATTCCATACTCTTGACAAGAATTCCAATTGAGAAATATTGAATATGAATAGATTATCCCATGCTATATTCCTAAACAAGGGGAACACCAGATGCCATAGTCCTATTTCTTTTCTTACCCCTGAAAACTACATGTATTCAGCTGACAGTCTTGTTTGACCTTTTCACAGTAACCCATGAAAGAAGATGTATAAGGCTATCTAATGTGTCTGCATTTATATCATATCATTCAATGAAAAATATAAAATAAGAAGTTCATGAACTTTTGGTCCATATTAAAGGACTGTCAAAGGATGATATAGAATATTTGGATCAGTGAAAATGCAATTTAGGAGACATCCCATAATCACCTCAGTTTTTGTACTATTTCCATGAGTAAATGGCATTCATATACAGTTGATTTAAAGCTTTAAGTATGTAGATTTCTTAAGTGGATAATATTACAATACTGTTTCTTTGGAAACAGATACAACTTTATGTGAAACTTAAGCTGAACCCTCAAAATATAGGACAGCACCTTCAATATACAGGGTAAATATATTCCAACTTAGAAAGACAATTGTAGTTTTCCTAGAAGATTTTAACTGTCTCTCTTGCAAACCCTTGAAGTTGCAAAAGCCACATAGAAAGCAGATCTATACCCATGCCTACCTCCAAGTCTATATCTATATGTCTTATCTATTTTGAAATTTGATCAGATATTATTCATCATAAAGAAGAAGGTGTGCTCTAATCAGTCCTGTCTCTTGTTAAAATGTTTCAGTTTGAATTGTATTTAACATTAAAGATCAGTCTTCCCCAACCTGATGCTCTCCAGATGTTTGACCTGCAACTCCTATCACTGCTAAACAATACATCAGGTTGATTTTTCACTTCATTCCAATATGAATAATTATTTAATGAAGATAAATTGCCAATTAGCAGATTGAACTACTTTACCCTGAATTATATTAAAAATGTCACAATACAAGATCTTAAAAAGTATTTTAAATCTTTCATGCCATATAATCTATAACAGTCCACTTTCCCCCCTTGCTCTTTGACTGGCAAAGGTGGAGTTACTATGCAAAAGTTTCACTCCTAGAATGAATTGTTTTAAAGTAGCTCAAAGAACAAATCTTTCAAAACAGTGGGAAGAAATGGAAATAGTGACATCTTTTCCAGTAGAGCAACTATATAATACTAATAAATACATAACATACATTATGGATTCTCTTCTTCCCCACATCCCCAAGGTTTTCCATTAAAGTATATTGACTAATTAATGAAAAGCTGAGGAGATATTCTTAGAATAGAAAATCTGGTCCTAGCCCAGATCAAACAGTGGGGGGGGGGGGAGAAAAATCTACATGCAATGCAGAAAAATTCAGGAAGACTGATGAGACTATGGAAGAAGGGAGGATTAAGAAAGAGAAATATGTATTTTCCAAAAAGTAACATCTTACCGCTTTCATTCTTCTCTATTACATCCACCACTTCGCCAGCCTGCAGGCTGATCTCCGAGTTCTCCTGTTTCTCATAGTTAGATACCACCACATACTGCTCCAGGATCATAGGTTCAGAGTTAGCGTCAGCACCTGGAGAAGGGAAAAAGCAAGCTGTGAGCCAGCTTCCAGCCATGGCTCGTTGAGAGTCACCTCTGTCCATCCGACTCAGGATAGGCTGACTTGTCACCAAGGCCAAGCCAATCAGAACACAACTGTGGCTCACAGCATATCCCCAAATGGCTGGCCATAAAGGAGTAGTTTCCTCTGGCCCACAGCTCAATAGAACAGAGGAACATTGGGGAATGAGTGAGGAAGGGACAAAAAACAAAACAAAAACCCACGCTTAAATGTTTAAGCACAACAGCATAATGCAGACATTAAAATGCAGGATGGAGTTTGAAAATAAACCTCTTTCCAACATGGTTCCACACCATACTCATTCCTATTCAGAGAGAAAAATCCATCCCAATCACAGCCAACATAAAAGGACGAAAAAAGTAAGTCCAGGGCTGCTCCGATAAAATGGGGTAAAAAAACAGAACAGTCTAGTCCGCAATTTCTTCTCCTTATACACTGAGCTCCTGCTTGCTTTTTACAGGCTTGAGACAGGCAAAAGAGGGTTGTGGACGCCAATCATATTTGCCTCTAGCTGCAGCCCTTAAATAGAAAACACGTGAGCTATGTTGAAAAAGGGAGGAGGGAATGGAGGAAGGGAAGAGGGGAGGGTGCAATGGTCTGTTTACTTGAAACAGAAGAGTTATAGTACAGAATCCTGCTTACACAGCCCCCCCCTTCTGCTCCAGTGTTCACCTTTTCTAAACACAACTCAAAAGAAGTGTCCCTTTAAAGTAAACTGCATAGCAAATCTCTTGTTACAACTCTAGAATTGCAAAGTACTGGCAAAACCTGCTTTCTTATTTTTCCACCATCTCTTCTTATTCCTAAGTCTCCTTTTCTTTGCTTCATTATTTTATTACGCATTATTCTTGCTACATTTTCTTCAAGTTGATTATATGAAACATAATAATAAACATATTCTGCTACTATGGACAGTTTTTTTTAATTTGCTTTCCACAGCAAGTTGCAGCAGAAACATGTGTGCCCTTTGCTCATCAGTCACTCAGAACATAAACAAGGGCTTCTCCCGCCCACTTTTGAACACCCACAGGAAAATCGACTCTTATACACTGCCCTTTGGCGCCTGCAAGGAAGAAATATGTGCTACAGAAGCATTTTTTTAAAACCAGTAATTTTTTTTTCCTTTTTGAACTCTTATCCCAGTTCCCTGCATACAGGCATACTTAGGAACAAAAGACTGAAAACCCTCAAAGAAGCCAAGAATTTATCTCAAAAAACCTTGAAATACTTAAAAGTTTGAGAGATCTTTACAACATATTATATGAATCTAATTGTCCATATCCAACCCCCCCCCCAATTCCTACAGCACAATGGCATCCTTTTGTTCCTGTGTATTCTTGCCTACATCTCCAAAGCCATGCTTCTGTATTTAGTTGTTTTCCACTTGCAAGGCTGGTACAGATGACCATATTTATATTACAGGGAGTCCTCGACTTACAACAGTTTATTTAATGAGTACAGGTTCAAAATTGCAATGGCACTGAAAAAACAGTCACACTTATGACTGTTGCAGCATCACATGATCAAAATTCAGAGGATTGGCAACTGGTTCCTATTCATGACAGTTGCAGTGTCCCGGGATCATGCCTTTGTGACCTTCCGACAAACAAAGTCAATGGGAAAGCCAGATTCACTTAACAACCCTGTTACTAACAACTGCAATGATTCACTTAACAATTGTGATGAGAAAGGTCATAAAATGGGGCAAAACTCACTTAACAACTTTCTTGCTTGGCAACAGAAATTTTCGGCTCAGTTGAGGTCATGAGTTGAGGGCCACCTGTACTCATCTAAGGTAGCATTCCAACAAGCAAGCATAGCCTGTTTTGTATCCAATATTCCTGCATTTAAAGCTTGGTGTTATTTTTTGAAATTTGTTATTTAAAGTACCACAACAGCAAAAGTGAAACCAGGGCTTTAGTTGTCTTATAAAATCTAAATTTTAATGCTTCAAAGTTCTTTCAATGCCAAAAATTAAAATAAAACACAGAGAGTATAAAGTATTTGATATGGATTTTTCAAGTTATTATCCCATCCATGAGATACTAACCAGAAATCTATCATCATTCCCATGAAGCACTCTATCCCTAATTACCTACACACGGATATTAAAAGGCTCTTAAGGGAAAATAATTTGTCACTTGATGCCCTAGCAGATGCTTTTTCTTCTAATTAAAAAACACCTCGGGTAGAAACATATGCACAAAGCTCAGGAAAAACTTATTGTAGGAGATACATCAAATAAAAACTTGACAATCAATGTTTATTACTGTATTGCAAACAGCTCTAATCTAAAATCATTCAAGCAAACTACAACTGTACTATAGCCTATCCTGGTCAGTAATGCTTCCCTTTCACAACTTTTCAGATAGCAGCTCAGCCCAAGACAGCTACAAACATGCAACATAGCAAAGCCAGACTCTTCAAAACACCCAAATGTCAACTCTCTGAGGAACATTTCAAAATCATTCTATGTAAATGGGCCTACCTGTTACTAAGATATCCTTTATCAACAACAGCTCATGAACAACCATTGTAAAAAAATGGCTGGCTTCACATATTGTTTTAATCACATTACTTAAGCATGATACATTGGATTGATGTAACATGATAAATACAATAAATCTGAGCATAATGCTTGGATTCAAATAATACACTAAATCAAAGCAACCCTTATTATGGCTTAGTACAGTGTATGTAAGGTATCAGTGTAAGACTAGGGGATCGTGAATTCTAATCCTTCTTAGGCACAAAGCCAGCTGGGTGACTTTGGGCCAGTCATTTTCTCTTGGGCCCTAGGAAGCAGGTAATGGCAAACCACCTTAAAAAAAAAAAAACCTTACCAAGAGAACTGTAGAAACTACTCCAAGTAATTGTCAAGAGTTAGGTTAAAGATTGAAGTATACTATAATCATAATAAATATATAATTTTTCAAAACTCCTATAAGTCTTTTTAAACAACTTTGAGAATATCTAAGAAACTATATGGGTTTTTTGGACTGGATTATATATTCTGGTAAAAAAAAAGTATAGGATAGAATGTGCACACAAAAGTATAGGATAGAATGTGCACTTATATGATCAATCCCAAAACTATAGGGTTTGAATATTGCAAACTTATTTATTTATTTACAAATATTTATATGCCGCCCAATCCCAAAGGACTCAGGGTGGCGTACAAAGTTAAAAACAGTCGTAAAACAATAAAATAATCCAGTCATACCGCGAGTCCGATCATATCCCGGCCCCCCGGGGACATCAGCCCCAGGCCTGCCGGAACAGGAGAGTTTTAACGGCTTTCTTAAAGGCCGGCAGGGTGGGAGTAGTTCGAACCTCGGGGGGAAGTTGATTCCACCAGGTCGGAGCCACCACAGAAAAGGCCCTTCCCCGAGGGCCCACCAGCCGACATTGTCTGGCCGACGGGACCTGAAGGAGGCCCAATCTATGGGACCTCACCGGTCTCTGGGAGCTGTGTGGCAGAATGCGGTCCTATAAGTAACCTGGCCCTATGCCATGAAGGGCTTTGAAGGTGATAACCAACACCTTGAATTGCGTCCGGAGACCCACAGGAAGCCAGTGCAGCTCGCGGAGGATAGGTGACACATGGGCATACCTTGGCGCGCCCACAATCGCTCTCGCGGCTGCGTTCTGAACCAACTGCAGCCTCCGAACGCCCTTCAAGGGTAGCCCCATGTAGAGCGCATTACAGTAATCCAGTCTTGAGGTGACAAGGGCATGAGTGACTGTGAGTAAAGCCTCCCGGTCCAAATAAGGCCGCAACTGGTGCACTAGGCGAACCTGTGCAAAGGTCCCCCTGGCCACAGCCGATAGATGTTGTTCCAGATTTAGCTGTGAGTCCAGGAGGACACCCAAGTTGCGTGCCTGCACTGAGGGAGGTAAATTTGCCCCCCCCAGGACTAAAGATGGACCATCCAGTTGGCCTTTGGGAGGCAAGACCCAGAGCCACTCGGTCTTGTCAGGGTTGAGTCTAAGCCTGTTCACCCCCATCCAGACCCTCACATCTTCCAGGCACCGGCACATCACGTCGACTGCTTCACTGAAAGGACACGGGGTGGAGATATACAATTGGGTATCATCTGCATACTGATGATACCTCACCCCGTGTCGCTGAATGATCTCACCCAGCGGTTTCATGTAGATGTTAAAAAGGATGGGGGACAGGACCGAGCCCTGAGGCACCCCATAATCGAGGCGCCTAGGGGTCGATCTCTGTCCACCCGCCAACACCGACTGCGACCTGTCAGAGAGGTAGGAGGAGAACCACCGCAATATGGTGCCGCCCACCCCCACCTCTCCGAGACGACGCAGAAGGATATCATGGTCGATGGTATCGAAAGCCGCTGAGAGGTCAAGAAGCACCAGGATAGAGGAATAACCCCTATCCCGGGCTCGCCAGAGGTCATCGGTCAGTGTGACCAAAGCAGTCTCAGTGCTGTAGCCGGGCCTGAAACCAGATTGAAAAGGGTCCAGATAATTGGTTTCATCCAAGGATCGCAAGAGTTGAAACGCCACTACCTTCTCTACAACCTTCCCCACAAAGGGGAGGTTGGAAACGGGACGAAAGTTCTTCAAAACAGCTGGGTCCAGGGAAGGCTTCTTGAGGAGGGGCCTCACCATCGCTTCCTTTAAAGGTTGCGGGAAAGACCCCTCCATCAAGGAAGCATTGATTATTGCCTGGAGCCAGCCTCGTGTCACCTCCCTACTGGCAGAAACCAGCCAGGAGGGGCACGGGTCCAATAAACAGGTGGCGGCATTCATTGCCCTCACGGCCTTGTCCACTTCATCAGGGGTCACAGGCTCAAACTCGCTCCAGATAACATGACTAAGACCAGCCCCTGGCAACTCGGCTGGCACTGCCCAGTCGGAGTCCAGGTCTCTCTGAATCTGAGCGATTTTGTCCGACAGAAACTGAACAAACTCCTCAGCTCTCC